CTCAAATAAAACCAACAATAAAATTACTCAGCGATTGCGTAACGTGTGAACTGGGCAACGATCGACGAACGACTGACTCGAGCTTGCGCTTGCGCTGCTTTATATATCACTCGGTGGTGGGGTTGAAGTGACGTCGGTCAGTTGTTTGTTCACTGCTCGCCCATTACATTTGCAGTTTACAAAATAATGACGGCGGCGCCGACACATACAAACACAATACATTATAACATTATTAGATAAACACCAGACTGGAAACACGCGTAAACCAAAATGTATGAAAGTTGAACAAGTTTAATATTTCTCGCGAAGTTTTACCTAATAAAGTTGAATATAAGTTGGGAGTTGTTAAACAGGTGTATTATTATTTAGAGAGCCAACTCCTTGGTTTTTTTTATACCATAAGCCGGTAAACGAGCATACGGATCACCTGATGGTAAGCAATCGGCGCCGCCCATGGACACAAGTGCGTTACCGGCCTTCTGGAAATTGGGAATTTGAGGATTATGGAGGATACGGGGATTCGGGAGACTAGGAACTCTAGGGAGGGGAGTAATTGTAACTCCTTGGTACGTTAGTTAGAGATAAGAAAAAGATGGATAACTCTGGTGATGCAAGTCTTTTGGAAGACAGAGTGGAAAAGAACAAAGTGGTTTAATGATATACGAATATTATATGTAAAAAGTATTACTGAGTTTTTAAATCAATCTCAATCAGCAGTTTTTGGAATTGCCACATTTCTGATTCTTCATAAACGGTTAACAACCGCGCCTTCAGAGTTTCGAATTTCTTCGTTTCCGGTGGTTTCAACAAAATGTCGCTAACTTGCTGCACAACTTCTTTGCCGAGCTTAGTGACGACCATGTTGAACCTCGCTTCGTCGCTTAGTTTTTGAGGACTCAGCACTGCTTCGCATTGCACGAACCACAGTCGCGGCTGATCACGCCAAAAATCAGGAATCCTTGAGGACACTGTTACGGTCGCTAGCTCCACCACTTCGGGTTGTACTTTTGGTTGAGTCGCCATTGTAAATTCGAAAGTAATTTGTTCACGTTTTCCGAAAAAAAGCACGTCAGTTGGACGATTACGTCGGGGTCACCATATTTGGGGCTTAGCGCCGTATGTGTAGGGTATCTGTGTGAGGAGTGAAATGATCTGCACTCGTTTAAGTTCGGTATGAGACTGTTTAATTATAAATCAAATTAATACATGCTAGGGCACAGGTGACATCATAATCATATGATCAGAATCGGAATCACAATATGATGACATAGAATGGGGGCGATGACCGCCACAAAAACATCAGTGGTAGCATGGAGGCTGGAATTGTGCCCGGTATATTATTTATGGTATTTATTTATGTACACATAAACCATTTTATCCGTTAACCATGTACACGAAAGCAAACAAAATGTAATTCATACAAAATGGTGAATTCAAGCTGTGTTGTACAAAAATCTCAGTTAACCATTCTCTGTTGTACACACGACTGCATATGAAGCTACACAGCACCAATATAAACTGACTTATGAATGTGCCGAAAGATCATACAACGCGGGTTCATGATAAATTGGACTTTATACCTCAATATGCAGTTACAAACGTTTGTGTACTGCCATTTACATCTGTATCGGCGATATTTAAGCGAATGGCCTCCGAAGGCCAATAAATAAGGAATGGGCCTCAGTTTGGCCTCACCCGGACAGTCAGGCCTCGTTACATCTTGACATTGTTCGTGACGAAACAAAAGACAAGCTGTTTTCTGTGTGTTTATTTTTGTTTGTGTAAGTGGAATTTCAAATTGTTGACTCAGGTTTGGTACTCAAGGATGTAAAAAGGATGTGAGACATGATTGCGTTAACTTATAATGAAAGTGATGGACAATGAATTTTGACGAACTGGATATTAGTGACTAAGCCTTTGATTTGGAATTCATTTTTGTTTTAATAGGGCGTCAAAGCGAGCCTACGGAGCACCGGATAATAAGTAGACAGTATCGCTTTTGGACACTCGCAAAGATCCATACAACTAAGGAATATTGAGGAGATCCATTTTTTTATAAAATTCCAGAGTATTAATTATTATATTTTCGGCTTCCTCACGTAGCTGTTTGACGAGGAACTCGACTAGTTTCAAGCCATGCTAGAGGCTCATATTCATGCAGCATTCCGCAACCCGCGATGCGGCAACTGTCGCGCTGCTACTCGTCAAACAGTTACGTGATGAAGCCTTATCACGAAAGTTATAATATAAAAAATTTCAGAGAAACCCAAGTGTAGCATGATGTGAGTAGAGAGATATTTTGTACAACGCTAATGTCTATATAAATATGTATAGTATAATAGAATTCCCACGTGTATTGAAAGAAACAGCTTAGAACCTAAACCTCCTAGATTTGCCACTAATGTGTGGCTTGGCCTCCTGCCAGTCCCACATTAGCATACTTCTCCACTTATGGGCAAACGTCTTGTCTTGTGTACAAATTATGTAAAGTGGCCTCAGTAGACGTTGTAATTGGCCATTTATCGCGTCGTAGGCCGACATGGCCTGTAAGGCTATAAAATGGATTGTTGTAGCCTTCGACATTGTTGTGACTGAATTCTTGTCGGATTATAAACCGAGTTTGCACTGGTTTTGTTGGCTTTTCATGTCAAATCAAATCAAATCAAAATCATTTATTTGCCCAAAACATGGTAGGTAACAAGATGTGGAATAAAATGTTTGTGAACAGCATGTTTTGCCGTGGAACACAGCTCAATCAGAACGTTAATACGAATGAGTCATATTACAATATAATCAAATTTATATTAGATAAATAAGAATTTTATGAAAATGATAAAGTAAATGTGATTCTGAATAGAAGTAGTTAGAGTCGTTTTTATATCTTTGTAACAATTGTAGCGATGTCTATGTCTGTCTATATAGTTAAATAAACAGATATGTCCTTATTTTTTTAAGTATTTCTTCTTTGACCTTTAAAAATTATTGGTTGTTTCGAAAAATCGACATTATAAGAATCTTTATTGGCAGTTTTGCCTCCCGGGGGCTATATTCTGAATACATAAAGAGACTGAATTTTTTTCTTTCAGGAAATTGACGTTTATTTTATCCCCTTTAAGCCTCTGATCGTAATTACCATCGTTAGCGCCGACGAGAACAATTAAAAAAAACTACTAATTGCGTCATTCTCATCCCTCGTTATTGTTTGTGGTATTAAAGAAAAGAAAGTATTAAAAATATAATCTTAGTTGGGTATTTCTTACTCAATATAAATTGTGTTTATTATAAAGTGACTAGATACAAGATTGGTCTATGGGTGAAGATGTTGGTTTTGGTGTGAGATGAAGTGAGGTAATAATCCCACACTCCCTAGTCCCTAGTTTTTCTCCCCAAAAAGCTAGACGTTTTTTAAAGGTTCCCGCTGCCATCAAGGTGGGCAGTGGTTAAAAGTGCTACAATGTATATTAAGAAGGTATATTTTTTGTAAATAAACTTCAAAAACACTGCCTCGTTGGTCGAGTGGTCGAGTGGGCAAAGTATAAGTCGCACATGCACTCGTCATCTCGGGTTCGATTCCCGGTATGAGCAAAGTATTTCTGGGTTTAAAAAAATATCTCAGTAGTAGCACGTAGTCTAGATTTGTGCCCGGTATATGGCAATAGGCTCACCCCTATTACATGGAGCTCGTAACATAAATAGTGAATAGTGGATGTTACATTGTAAGTAAGTGGCATTAAGTGCCGTAATGTGCACCTCTGGCTAACCCTTTGAAGATAAAAGGCGTGATATTATGTTAAAAGTGCGAGCATAAGATAAATAATGCGACTACAAACCTTTGCAATTTCTCAGACATTTAACCAAATGACGAACTTTACAAAATAGCTTGAAAACAATCTCACTCATTGCTGAACGACGCTTTTGAGACGGGATTAAGAGCTAAGCTGTCTGGATTCTGGAAATATCCAGACATAGTTGTCTGTCAGAGATTCGGGACAGAACAAGCTTGGTACCGTGTCAGCTAGTTGTAAAGGGTTAATGCCCTGAACAAAGTTCAGAGGAATTTCTCTTAGATATTTTAGTCTAGAAACTAATCAAATTTACATTTTCCAAAATTGTTCTTCTACTTAAGGAGTTAAGTTATCCTCGTGTTACAAGCGAATAATTGTAATATAACTCACCATTTTACCTTATATTTAATTATACACATAATGTGTGTAAAGACTGCCTTGTAGGCCGAGTAGTAGCAAGTGTGACTGCTGGGCAAGGGGTCTTGGGTTCAATTCCCGGGTCGGACAAAGTATTACTGGGTTTTAAAAAATTCTCAGTATAGTAATGCCATGTTATAGAGGGTGAGCCTACTGTCATTGGTTCTTTTTTTTATTGGATTAGGAATATGTGAGTGAGCTGCGCGACATTGCAGTGACGGTGCACGCTACTCGGGAAGAACCCCTCTGTGGTTCGAAACTAGTAGAGCTTTTTTCAGTATATTCACGTGAGTAACCCGCGTTTTTACTTAAATTAGGAATATGGTTAAAAATGACCGGCGATTTTAAGCGCGACTTAAAATTGATAATCGGTGTCAAGTACATCCGTTTTTGACAATTACAATATTAATTCGTGTCTCATATTATGTTAAACTATAACATTAGATAAAAAATAGGATGTTTATGTTGGATGAGATGTAATCGTTGAATTGACTTCCGCAGAGAACAATAAACTGTTTGATTCACAAATCATTGTTTCAAATCTGGGAGTGATTTTTATATCAAAATATTTTCGAAGTAGTTTAATGTACTTTGGCACTGATATGTATTTATATCAGGTCTTGGAACTAGTATTCATTAATTCCTTAGCTGTCTCTGTGTTAGCGGTTTAACTATATCTAACCAAAGTAATAGTTCAATGTTAAAAAAAATTTAGCTTATTATTACTACCCGCTGTAGTTTTTACATTATTATACCTATTACTAGATATGCCTTCTCCAATGACGCAATATGATCGTGCTTGTGTCAACTAGCCACATCTAGGCAAAATATTGTGACATCTACGTAAGTGCCTACGTACAGCGTGTTGACATTCTGCAAGGTACTTCGTGTGTATAAAACCTGGAATAGTGTTAATTAGCTATCAGTTCTTCATCAGTTGTGGATTCAGAAGCCAGTCATACAAACATGAAATACTTCTTTGGTAAGTAAATTTTTAATTATTTATAAAGATTTTTCCCTTTTCTATTTTCCGTGACACTCACTTTTGGACATTTATCTTTACATTGAAATACAGAGATCAATACTAAATTTTACTGAATATAATTGTTACATATCTTTTTGTTTAATGTCTCCAGTTCTGACAGCTATATTAGCAGTGTTCATGCTGCACACAAATGCACAAAGATGCGATTGTCCCGACGACTTCGTGCCTGTCTGCGCCAGAGACATGCGGACGTACCCTAATGAATGCACGTAAGTCCTTTGTTGTTTTGTTTTATGTTTTCACGATATCCACAGTAGTGGTTGGATGCGTAGAGCTGAAGACCAAGCTCAGTGGCGTGCCATTGGAGAGGTTTATGTCCAGCAGTGGACGAGAACAGGCTGTTGATGTATAAGTTGTTCTTTTATATTTCTTTAGTAAAATATAGACAAGTAATGTTGGACTCATTAAAAACATAAATATTATATCAGTAGAAATTTCGCAGCATTACCAGTTACGATCATTTTTAGTTTCCATTACGTTTATGCATCTGGTCATACCGATATTTTGAAGTAAGTGTTCCACAATCCTTGTGATTTTAGAGCTAAGATTTGGAGCAAATAATACATCAAAATTTACTTGCCTCGATAGAACCAAAATTTTACAAAAATTCAACATTCATTTCGTAAAAAATCACTTAATCCAACCCGAGAGCTGAACCACGAGTCTCTTGTACTGTAGTCACATTTACGCCCATACAACCATGGCGGCTATCAATTAGTGTCTTCTTACAAGTTCCTTATCTATTTACAGGATGGTCTGCGCGAGGCAGCAGAAGTTGTATGACGGAGAGTGCAGAAGACAGTCGCCCATCAAATAACATTCTTTAACTCAAGAAGAACATTACCTAATAAGAAATTATAATCATTTCTATTCTCTTCAGACCACCTAATAGTTTTAGTAAACAAATGCGAATGAGATACCTTCAAACCTTAAAGAAAAGAGCGTATTCTTTTGTCTATTGAGTTACAGCTAACAATATTTTTATTGATATTTAGTTATCTATATTATCTTTCATAAGCCGCCGTACTCATAGTCATTTAATGTCTAATTCTTAACCCAGCCCTTAGCAAATATCTTCGGAACAAAATCGTTGCTAAGGAATTGTTTAACGAATTATGAAATATCTCTGAGTATGACAGAAAGATAACTTTACCATGTTTAGTGATATTTATATTTAATTTATTTTTTTTATGATTTAAGCCGGTAAACGAGCATAGGGTTCACCACATGGTAAGCAATGAGTGTCGTCCATGGATACCTAAAACACCAGAGGCGTTACAAGAGTGTTACCGGCATTTTGGAAATTGGGAATATGAGGATTGTGGGGGATTCGAGGATTGAGGAGACTGGGAAGGGGGGGTAATTAGGCCTCCTGTAACTTCACTCACACGACGAAACACATCGCAAGTGTAGTTTCACGTCGGTATTCGGCTCGGCCGTGGTATCACTCCGGTTACCGGTCCATTCGTGCCGAAGTATGGATACCCCACACTTATTTCTTATTACGTTTATAATATTTACTGATGTTTAATACTTTGATTCTATGTTTAACTTTGGTGCTATATCACATAACGTATTTAATTATTAATTTTTTTCTATGTTCTAATCATTATTATTAATATTCAGTTATGTATCTATTCTTTGAATTATATTATGAGTTTCTTTAAATAAATAGCAGGGTACATATTTAGTTACTATATTTGTTACTCTCCTTTTTTATTACTAACTGTATGTAAATAAAATTCAATAATTAAATGATAAATGAATTATATTTTTCTTATAAATATTATGATGGGTGATTATTTATTTCCTCAAACACACGTATGATTGTAATTTTAAATCAATTTTCCGAATACCTCACACACAACAAATCACTTCTCTCTGCACAATATTCGTATTACAATGTTATTTTTGTTTAAAATATAGATTATTTCTAGCAATCGACTGATCTATTGTTACTTTCAATTCGATATTATCATACATACATACATAACTTCACGCCGGTCTCCCATGGGGGGTAGGCAGAGACGATGGGCCGCCAATGACTACGATTCCTACATACCTCTTTCGCTTCATCTACAGTCATCAATCTGTTCATACATGCTCGTCGGTTAAGGGTACTTTTAATTTGGCCCTTCTTTAATATCGATATTATAACTCAACAAAAAATATTATTATTGAAAATGTTTCACCCATTTTGGCAACCTTTTGTTTTAAAACTGCACTACAGTTGCTGTCGGCCATTTTTTACTGACCACCATTTAAGACTTCATGCAATTTGACACTTGGATGTGCAAACAATGGGAGAAGCGTTTTTATTGTAAAAAATGGGGTAAAAAGCAACGTAGAGTGCTGGGAAATGGGTATTCTGTTATGTCTGTTTTTTTATAGGTACCAGTAATGGATGGCTTCATAAAAATTGAATAATGTAGAGGTAGTATGACTAAATATAAAATTTATCAAAATTAAATAAACTCCATTCCATAATGGCCGACTTGGCAATCGTACTCAAATTTTTTTACTTCCCCATTTCTTAAACTTCACACATTACGAGTTAATCACGTGATTATACTGAGAAAAGCTCAACTAGTTTCGAGACATAGAGGGATTGTTTCTCATGAGCGGGGTGCGCGGTCGCGGCTATGACACGCAGTGAGTAGGACTCGAAACTAGTAGAGCTTCTCTTAGTATATTCGTATTATATAGTATATATATAATATTGACTGCACGGTTGGTGCGGTGGCTGGGTAACCGGCTGCCGTGCAACGTGTCGCGGGTTCGATTCCCGCACGGGACAACACTTTGTGTGATCCACAAATTGTTGTTTCGGGTCTGGGTGTCATTGTGTATGTGAACTTGTATGTTTGTAAACGCACCCACGACACAGGAGAAAATCCTAGTGTGGGGCAACGTTAAAAAAAAAAAAAAAAAAAAAAAAAAAAAAAAAAAAAATTAAGTAAATTTTATTTTTTTGTTAATTCATCACGCCTCACAATAGTTATAATAAAAACGTCAACAAATTACCTTAATTTCTACTTAAAAATAACTACATAACATAACACATCACGCCTTTTATCCCCATAGGGGTAGGCACCACACCACTGTACAATGTAACATCCACTTTTCACTATTCATGTTATGAGTCCCATGTAATAGGGGGTGAGCCTATTGCCAGAGTCAGAAATTGTGACTTGTATAGTCACAATTTCTGACTCTGGCAATAGTGACTTGTATAGTCACAATTTCAGTGCTGTGCTAATACTGAGAATTTTTATAAAAAACTCAGTAATACTTTGCCCGACCCGGGAATCGAACCCGAATACCTCTTGCCCGGTAGTCGCACTTGTAAATACTCGGCTAACGAGGCAGGCATTTTAAACAAAGAATTACAATTGAGGGTACATAACGTAGAGTACAGCATAAAGTGATTTAATTAATTCAAACATTTACATTACTGAACATTTCAGAAGTTAATATGAGACGGTTGCTGAAATATATGATGATTAACAAGTGCGCAAAGCATACCGCTGCCAACTGAAATACCTTTTTAATTAAAATTCTTTGTTTTGAAAACGTATGAGGTATTTAACTTGTTAAAGGTCGTGACGTGTCACTAATGTTTTTACCTATTTTGTGTCAGATAACTGTGTTTTTATGGAATAAGCCGGTTATCGAGCTGACGGATCATCTGATGGTAAGCAATCAGCGTCACCCATTCACACCTGGAACACTAGCGGCGTTACAAGTGCGTTACTGGCCTTTTGGGATTAGAAATTTGAGGATTTTTGGGGACTCAGGGATTGGGAAAGAGGGGAGGGGTAATTGGGTCTCCGGTAACCTCACTTACGCGACGAAACATAACGCAAGCGTTGCTTCACATCGGTCTTATGTGAGGCCGTGGTATCACTCCGGTCGAGCCGGCCCATTTGTGCCGAAGCAATGCTCTTCTACACTTAAAATACGTGTGCGGTTTTAAACGCTTATTTCATTGCAAACGAGGAGAGTAATCGCCGGTGTTCGATTATACCTAATTGGACAATGTATTGAAATAATATCAGATTAAAATCACTACCAAGCGACGATAATACATGTATTGGCTTATGCCATAAAAAAAGAAAAGAAACATCGTCGAGGAACACTTTGACCTCAGAAACAAAGTAAGTGAGATATAACTCCAAGTGTAATAAATAGGTAATCAACAAACAAACAACTTATTAATTAGGTTGCTTGTAAGTCGGTGTCAGATGGTGGAACTTGGATACATGAGTACGTACCTAACAATAATCACAAGTTACTTCGTACAACTAGTAAGGAATATCAATGTCCCACCAATTTATTTAATGGATAGAAATTTGATATGATACGTTAAGTAAGGTCAAGAAAATTACTATGATCTCATTAGTCTTGTTTTTTTTATTATTTTTACTTTTTAAATAGATCAAGTTCTTCATTAATGTGTTCAGATGTCGCTCGCGTATAATATAGGTCCCAGTGTGGCTCGAAACCAGTCCAGCTTTTCTCAACCTCGTGGCTCAAGTACTTCAATCAGTTTAACATGTTCCATGAAGCCTTACATTTTCATTGCTTTGAGACCTTTCTACATATTTTTTGTTACCGTCTATCTCCTCGTGGCCGGTACATACAATAGCCTACATATAAGACATGGCGTGACGTCATAACGCGAGTATCAGGTTACGTCTGCAGCATAATGCGCGTGCATTCAACAGATGTGGTGAGACGTTACCACAAGGATGCCGTCTACACGTGACAGCCTTGATTGCCTTACAACCACATATAACATAGAACATGGAATATTTATATAAAGAAACAGGTAGTAAGGAAGAAATTCAAAGCAATTTGAAATTAGCCATGATGTAATGACAGCGAGTGAAAGGTATTCATAGTCTATATATAGCACCTCTATTCTTACGCCGGTTATAGTGAGATATAACCAAAAGGTGCTAGACATTTGGGAGACTAGAACTAGTAGAGTTTAAATGGCAATCCTCAGCCCGTCTGCTGAGCGAGACGATCAATAATAGCCAATGTTCATTCCCATACATATTGTCTGGACTTTAAAAGTGACGGACCTCTGAGTTTGTTTCGGTATTTCTTTTCAGGGCCCTTAGCCAAACGCCACATTAGCGCTTGTCTACAGAGAGAGTACAAAACAAAATGTATGGGGATGACACTGACAAGTGTTAAAAACGTCAATTTCATATAATTTGGTTTTCTATTCTACATGTAAACAAGCGCTTAATGGCATTTGGCTACATCTGCAAAGTAGTCAGTTAGGAAATGTCGGCCTCATCGTTTGCTTGATAAAAATGACGTGTAAAAGTACCGCCTTGTAGCCTATTTGCTGAAATATATTCACTTGTTTCATTTGTAAAAAGAGCTTAGGTATTTGTTTCTTCATTATTCTAATTTCAAACTTACCTTGTACACTTTAAGCACTTAATTAGCACTAATACGTAATTACTTCATTAGTTTAAGCCCCAGCTGTTGCTTTACCGACAACCTTACGTCCTAGGTGTTTCACTCAATACCTCAATACTTAATTGTATAAGGTGTAATGTGAAAATGTGTGTGTCTGTTTATTTGTCCGTCTTTCATGGCAAAATGGACCAACAAATTGACATGATTTTTAAATGGAGATAGTTAAAGGGATGGAGAGTAACATAGGCTACTTTTTATTTCTATTTAACCTGTTGAATTCCCCGAAGTGAGAGGTGGAAGTTGTTGCAGATGTGCACGCAGTAGATCCACCGCGACCGCATACGATAGGTTTGACGGCTTCTTAGGACTCGCTAACGTAGACAACAATTCATAAGTCTCTTCACCGATGAGCGCGATTAAAGAAGGTAACTTTAAATCGTCTGTTATTTTATTAACCATAAAATACATTTCTAACCGATCCACATACGCTGACCAGTTGCCGGTTTTAAGATCAAAGTCCTTGATTTTGCCCACAGACATTATTGTGACTATTGTCTACGACACGATCGAATAAAATTATTCTTCACCGAACCGAGTTTTATCCTCGTCGCCACTGATAAATAAAAGACATGCGTCGAGTACATGCATTTATTTCGAACTGGCTGAGATAGGTATTTGACAAGTAAAGGCATTACAACTACCCGCTACATATTATAATATGCAACAGAAGTATGTATAGAAGAAGTACAAAGTTAAAAATTTGTACGTGTACTATTGGTGAGTAATAAAAAAATCATAATATAACATAACATCACGCCTTTTATCCCCGAAGAGGTAGGCACTTATCACTATTTATGTTATGAGTCCCATGTAATAGGGGGTG